TGCATGTAAAATGGACTTCTTCTTCATTGGTAGGTTTCCTATATTCTTGCAAAAATAGCCAGGATAGTATAGTTTATTATATATGGAAAAAATACGTATAGTAAGAAATGTATGTCTAGATATACGCATATTCATACCAATACTGTATAATTTTTTCATTAAGCAGCAATTTATTTTATTTTATTTTTGCCATAAGAGTGAAAATGGTTGAATCTTAGTTATATATATTTCTAATGTTCACTTGCAAAATTTTTATGAATAGTGTTTCTAGATATATAACTGTTTACTGTTTGAATATATATTGATGACTTCAGTAACTTATAAGCACATTCTGGTACACAGCAGAAAGAATACGCTGAAAGTAGAGGAAGGCAAACTCTTTTAGTTGTTTATTTTGAAAAGAAAAGTGAAGATCAGTGTTAGATATACAGAATTGTTTTAATGTAAGTATAGCGCGGGTGTCAAATTTAGTTATTTTTAGAAGCGAAGTTTATCACAGGTTTATTTACGTAACTGTGCGAATGATACGTGTATAGTTCAATTGTTGTGAATTGGCCCTTGTTGTATTATTGCGTCATGTTACTAGAAAGTTTTTCTCGATTATTATTACATCATACTATCTCGTAGTACGTGGAAAGTTCTAGGCCTCTGTCGTGATATTTATAAATATGCGTCCAAAATGTAGTTCAAGTCAGACAAAGTTAGTGAGAGATATAGTCAAATAGATCTAGACTGTGTGTTTGTAAGTTTAGCCGTAAAGAGCGTATAGTGGAGCTTTTCTTATATCGCAGATTGTATTGTAACAACAAAGTAGAGAAGAATAAGTTGACTTGTCAGTTGTGTTCTAAAGTAAATTAACTAATCTGTGTGGACCTTTGACGAAAAGAGACAATTATTTAAAGCTCTGGATACAATTGTGGTGATTAACCGTGTAGTGTATAACGAACATTTGTGTATACGTTTGACATGTTTTAATATACTTGTTCAAAAACTAGTGGACTCTGTGCTGTTTGTTTATTGTTGAAATTTATCTCCGACAAGTCGCAGAAACCTACTGTAAATAATTCGGACCCATACATATAGAAACCTGACAATCATCCCAAAGCTTTCCATTCAGGGTCTGATGTCAATAATTACCATGGAACAAGCGTTGTTACTTTCTATAAATCGAATGAGCATTATGAAATGTAAAATGATACTAATACAAATGACAATGGCAGTCTCACAGTGTATCCTGTTGCAGAAAAGAAAACTAACTGTCTACATCCAAATTTAATCAGTACTGGAGGAACACTTGTACATTTCTAGGGGAAGAGAGTATTAGCCTTTCTTGCATTATCACAAAGAATTGGTGTGCCCAATAATGGTACTTTTTTAGGAATAATTGAGCTGCTCAGTCATTACGATCTAATTCTCAGAGAGCATGTAGAGAGAGTTGCAGAATCTCAGCAAGCAGGTTATCATCTTCAACCCCACTACATGTCAGGTGAGCCCCAGAATGAATTTATAACAACCTATGCTCAGCATGTATCACATTATTTTAGAGGAAAGATTTGAAGCAAAATACTTTGCTGTCACTGATTCATTTCATCGAGAACAACTTTTATCCTTCCCTTGTCATTCAGAAAGGTTTCTAAGATTTATTGATTGCAATAAGAAGATCGGGGCTGATATTTCTAATCTAATACTTGATTGCTTAGCTAATTATGAAATACCAATAATGGATCACAGAGCCCAAGGATACGACAATGGGTCTAACATGGCGGGTGAGTATAATGGTGCTCAAGCTCTTTTACTAAAAGTTGATTCCCTGACTAAATTTTCACCATGTGCTTGTCATAGTCTCAATTTGTGTGAAGTGTAAGCAGCAGAAAGTTGCACAAAGGCTCAACCATTCTTTGGAATAGTTCAAAAGCTTTACAATATATTTATTTGTACCCCAAAGTGATAGCATTCTTTTCAAGAATATAGGCTGTTCTCTTCACGGACTTTCGATAACACAATGGACAGAGTGAATAGTGTCAGGCGTTTTGAAGCTCATCTTTCTGGGATTTTGGACGCAGAATCAGAAATTATTCAACGCTATCTTACATCTCAAACAAGAACTTAAGTCACATGTATAACTGACTGTGTGTCACTTTCTTGTATCATGATGGCTGGAAACTAGTTAAAGGTACTTGTGATCATCGATCAGTACAATGAAGTATTGCAGGCTCGCAAAGCTACTATTGATATTGAAGTGAGCAACATTGAAAGTCTGTTGACTGATTTTAAAATCCTGCATGAACATTGGAGCTCAATTCTTAATGAAGTTAAATTGGTTGTAAATAATATGAACCTTCTTCCACAACTGCTGCAAAACGGAAATCAGTTTCCAATTATTTTCATGATGAAAATAAAGATGATCCCTTGCCTAATTGGGAAAAAAATTAACCTGCAGAGCGGATAAAATTCAGCTGAAACATATTTTATAAGATCACAGATTCTGTTATTGCTGGGCTCACTACAAGATATTAAGCAACCATGGATATTAATCAGACTTTTTCTTTTTTGAGGTAATATCTAAATATATCGGTGAATTATATACATTCAAAAACTAGTGAGTTTGTTGCAAAGTGTAAATTTGATGTGTCAGAAGATTTAGTGGAAGAAATGAACTATCTAAAGGCCATCCACAAAGCTAACTTTGGTAATATTGCATCAAATCCTTTATATCTTCTATATAAACTGCACATATTCAAGCTACATCCACGTTTCCCTACACTTTCTGTAGCCCTTTGCATTTTCTGAACAATTCTAGTTACAACTGCAGAAGGGGAGAGATATTTCAGCAAGTTTAAACTGATAAAAAATTATCTGCGCTCCACCATTGCCCAATACCGAATGACAAATCTGGGAATCCCTTGTAATTGAAAACTAGTTAGCCTGTACTTTGGATTTCAGCAGATTCATTGATCACTTAGCCAAACAGGAGGCAAGAAATGTACACTTCTAGCAATGAAAATCATACAGTAAACAATTGTCTGATCTAATAATGATAACTTATGTATTAGAATAGAAGAAAACTATAGACCTGTTTTGTATTCAACCAGTTCTATCTTATTTTACAATTAAATAACTGAAATGCTTAAGAGCAATATAGTATTGCTTTCATGTATTCACCGTATGAAACAAACTTGAAACTCATTTTATGCGATTTTTTCTCTCTTTATTAGTTCTGTTCATTTATTTAATAAAATTTTTTGATCGGAGACTTTTCTGTTTTCCTTTAGTACATTTATCAATTGTATGGTAATAAAATTAATCATTGATTTCTTTTTAAAAAATTAGCCTATTTTCATCTGAGTAGTTTGTTGAAATGTTATTACTAGTGACTTGGACATATATTCAATTTGTTTATTATGTATACAACAAATAAAAACTTACGTAATGAAATACTGATTAACCTTACCTTGTGTTATAAAATAAGCCTAAAGCTTCATATTTACTTATAAAATGCTGTATTTGATTAAGGTAAGTAGCGGCTAACACATCCACACTGATGCTGCTATTACAAATCCTCCAAATATAGTATCCAACTTAAAATCTGTAACAAAAATACAGTATGTTAGTAGGATTCATATACCAATGTAAATCAATCAATATGGTGTTTAATAGTGCATGGTTTTAATCCAAGAGTGGGTGAATTACCCTATTAAGGAATCACAAATTGCATCTTGCCGACAGTTAGTTTCTACGTGCATATCTGGGTTCGGGGTAAGAGGCCTGTGGCAGCTCTCGACAACTCTAGGGTTCCAATTTTCGGCTCATTTATGAAAATATTTATGTAATAATGATTTTTGACGTCCAAATTAGAATCGTTTTTCTATAGATTTTTTCTTTGAATCTGTCTCTTAGTCACGGAAATTGAAAGAGATGGTTCAGTTCTAAAACATATTCACTAACAATGTAGTCAAAGCATTATTCAGATTAAAAATAGTCCGGAAATGAATAACATTATTTCAAAAATTGCTCTAGCTTAATGAGGTTTCATGAAAGCTTTGGTATTGTATAGTCTAAAGAAGTGCAATGTACTGTAGTATATCATCATGTGTGTCTCAACAATAAATGTGCATGAAAAACACAGTTCACTGTTTTGCTAAAAATTTGTGTTAAATTAGTTTATAATAGTTTTCATGCTTTGATTCATGTTATTATAGACGATCCTCGCTTTCTGGTCGTTGGTGCACTATAAAAATATCAGTTAAATCAAATTATTTGGTCAGATAAGAATAGGCCATGAGATGCCCGTAGATGGGCTCTAGCCTACCACTTGAAAATTAGAAATATGCGCTGATAGCATTAAGGTTGCTTTGCGCGAAAATTTGAAACAAACAAACGTTTGTATATCACAATTTCAACTGGTTGTATTCTAGACTCATCTATCAAAGGAAGTCCAAGGGCGGCAACCCCCTTCGCTGAAATTTGTCTGCCCTCCCTTCCTTAAAAAGTGTATCTTAATTTTCTTTCCTTAAGTTTACTTCTACTTATTCATAACATAATAAAAAAGTATCCACCACCTCCAATCTCACCTGTTCGTCAACCCTCCTTCTCCTCACTTTCAAGAATCCTGAAGTCGGCATTGCAATCTATGGTCCTGATACTTGTACTGTAATAAAGTTATGTCTGAGGGCCAAATGCTATGTCGAAATATTGTTTTGCATAGTCGTAGTTGAAGATAATAACAAGTATGTGCTCGTACTTTTGTATTTCTACTCTGTAAAAGTTCAGGAAGGACGATTGACAATTAAGCCAGGATATTGACATAATGGAAACTAAGAACATTACAGCAGTGTCCATCATAGAATTAAAATTCATTATGAAATACTACACTCCATTATTACAAATGTGTCTTTGATTGTGGTTGTGTTTGATTTTGGTATCTCAGCAGTTCAAAAATATAATATAAATTAGTATGATGTGAGAGGATTCGAGAGATAGGTGGTGCTATCGTACTGAATGTGGGCCAGAATCTTGAGTACAAAGTTTATAGATGAAATCATTCGAAATTTATATAATTGTTTTCATATTAATTACCCTTTTTGCTATTGTTAAAATAAAGTAAGACTTTGACATTTTAGTTAAATATCAATACATACTACTAACGTTTTAAAATTACTTGGTTCAAACTGTCAACGTAACATCACAGTAGAAAGACTTCAAAGAGTAATATAGGCCTAAGGTAATACTTTACTTAACGTAAGTGGTACTAATATGACAGCTAGTTTTTAATTACATGAAATGAAATGAAAGTAATATGATGAAAGGAGGATAGCGTGGCTTCGCGCATTCTACTCATACTCGGATGGTTGCGAGTTCGAGGTTGGTTTGCGCGGTACTGTTGAGTAATTGAGAAAGCGTTAGTGGGTGGTATCTCATAAACTAGTAGTGGTATTGTATCATGTCACCATTCTCATCCACTTGTAAGTTGTAGTTGTACCAAGCTGAAAGTGGAACTTGGTAAAGGCATGTATCGTCTAGGCATGGGAAAAAGTTGACCGAAACCTGATTATGAAAAAATAATGAAACCAAACTTCCGTTATAAAAAGGATTTTTTTTTCACAATGCTGACATTACTATTTATATGTAAAAAAAGCTGAAAGTGATACCTAATTTTTATTTATTGTAATTGAAACCTCTTTCACTGGAGTGGAATAAACTTATAAGTTACTATAAACTGAATATTTCTTCTTTTTTTTTTCTTTAGTATTAAAAGACTGATATTAAATTTCTTATTGGTAAAATTCAATCAATCATATTTTTAATCTATTGCTTTCAGTTCTTTATTGAAAATTATTCACAAGAAGTAAAAAAGTTATTTTACTTTGTACTGTAAATCAGTGAGTAAATTGCTAAGTCTTGGAATTAAATCTGAAAGCATCAGTTATGTTGTAAGTAATAATGTAAATGTTACTTGTCAGATCTAAGAGTTACATGATAATGATAAACTTAAAATGCTACATCTCTGTTAGTGATTGAGTTAAAATGGTATGTGTTATGAACATTAATGTCATTTAGTTCAACACAAAAACTGGTTACGTTCCGTATAGTATAGATACACTCTTTTTTTTTTTCAGCTCATGTCCAAAAGGTAGGTTCCTCATTTACCAATTCTGTACTTTCTCTGAGCCTAAATTTATCCTGTTACTTTGATTGTTTTATTAATTAATCAATAGAAGTAATGAATGTTTGGGATTTTGTAGTTGCTAATAAACTTAGTAAGATACAAAAAATGAATATGAAACCAGTCTTTCATTTGATTAACTGTTTATCACTAGGTTATCCCAGTTTCAGAGAATTCTACCCATTTTCAATACTCCTAGACAAGGTCATGTTGAAAACAAACACAACTAGGTTTCTTGTAGTATGTATATATTATAATATTGTATTTTTGTTGTCTTTTACTCACCATAGTGAACCTATGTTTATAGAATATTTAAAGAATATGTAACATTCATGCTACTAAGGTATTCTTCTGAATTATTTAACATAAGATACTAAAAATGAATACAAATATAGACTCACTATAGATAGTAAAAACAACAAAAGAAAACACCATACTTACTGAGAGTTGATGTCTTTATGGAATGTATAAAGTTTTGTGCACTTGAGAATTCAACACACTTGATAAATATTCTCTCTGCAAACATACTTGTTGATTATTAGTTTGCCATCATATTAAATTTGAATTGACTTTTAGAAACTAGGACAGATAAGAGGTATTAACACAATCAACTCAACGAGACTGGAAAAGCAGACATAACTAATATGATCCTCAAAGTTTTGTATCTTCAATATACCTTTAAACAATTGATATCCACCTGCTTCCTGTATGTAATGTTGCATGGACAGGATTGCACCAAATGCAGTATCTAACTACTTGCACTTCTAGGTTTAGAGTGAGTTCTAGAGTAATTAGGCATTAGGAAATTATTTTAAAGTCTGGGGAATATCACTTTTACTTGAAGAAAAAAAATTTAATGAATTGTCTGAAAATACTTGATGTATAGTTATTACACAAATTTATATACTTTTGTGAATCATTTTATTAGTTAAGACATGCTTACTTTTTGTGTTTTATAGAAGAAATTATGTAAATTCATGAGAAAAGACTTTTATTTGTAATTATTTGAATTTTTATACATAGATGTTTATAGCCAGTTCCTGAAATGTAACACTGTTACAAAATAATGAAATCACATAAAACCTCATCAGTCCCGATTCTTCAACCTAGCTTGATGTCTCTCCGAAAAACTCATGAAAAACTTCCAACTGAATGCTCTACTCCTATAGAAACAAGTACACATGAAAAACTCCAGAATGCCAGTGTTCCAGCAAATTCCAGCAATCCTGACTCATATTTTAGTCAGTTGCACATTGATACTAATTTGTCCTTTGATAAGTATGTAGTTAATTTCATAAGCTATGTTAAATAGTTATATTGTCATAACCTGTCTTCCATGTAACTCAGAGTAGTATATTTTTCAGTTTATGTCAAGTTTTGAATTATGTGTTTAGAGCAGATTGTAGATATAAGGTACAAAGTGTGGTACAATTTTATGTCGTTGAGCCATAGAAAATTGACATTACAGTACTGGCTGCAACTAACCTAATGTAATGCAAGTATTGTTTGCTATTTTTGCTGATAAGTAAAGAGTATACTACTACTACTCTCAGTTAATAAAGAGAAAATTTATTCAACATTTCACTGATAAACTTTCACCTATAATATATATATTAATAAAGTTTAAAAATTTCTAAAATAAATAAGGAAAATGCATTTAACCTGTTGTTTTGGTAAAAATGTTAAGTACTTGCATGGTGTTTTATTAACTTAGCTTAAGCTTATCCCAAATTAAACTTGAATTAGATTGTCAACTTTAAAAAGTATAAGCATGTTTACAATGTTTTGAAAAGTTGAGACATTTCAGCAGATTTATAACAGATAAGAAGTGTTTTTTAAAGTATTCGTAAAGTGGTTAACTATGAATGTTCAAGAGCACTTTTAACTTGCATACAATGTATTTACAGATTAACTGGTTATTTTTATCCAGTAACAGATTATTTTCTTTGGTTGAAGTTTTCTACACCTTTAAATTTTCCAGGACTAGAATTATTACTAAAACACTGATAGTAAATATGGTAGTTAAATTTTGAGATATAATGGATTGTATTTCATCCAGATATATGATATCGAGCTAAATCCTTTGGTCAAATAACCAAGTGTTTGTCTGCCAAATAACTGATCCAGTTTCATTAGTTTCACAGGACTCTGAAATATATAAATAAATGCAAAAATGAATATGAAATTTTGGCAAAATTTAAACAAATTACAAAGACTGAGTAGAATGTGGTACTTTTATTAAGCAGTTGTATAATCACTTCAGTTGAATACTCGTATTGTAATGTATCTTCAATAAGTAAGTGGTAAACTTATTTAATGTTTTGATTTGAATGTAGTTTTACAAGAATGAAAGAAGAAAAATGGCTATGCCTACTGAATAGTTCTGAAAACTAAATGCTAAATGTGTATTAATAAAGCACCATATATATAAATATTTAAATAATAAATTTCTTTGAAAACAACTGGAGTTGCTGAGGGCAAATTATTTAGTAAAAAACATAGTAAAATATTTTCAATCAGACTGATGAAAGGTTACTTGCTTATGAGAGCTAATAATTGTTTAGCATGCTAAAATTATTGAAATTTACTGTTTGTTGGACATAAAGTAGGATTGCATGCTTTGGAAAATATCAAAATTAAATGGATTCATGCTTATGAACACATTACTAATAACTGAGTTTGTTTAATAATTTACTAAAAAAGTCAAACCTATTCAGAGGCATATTATGATACTGTATACATAATAATATGTTTGAATTTGTAACATTTGCATTTTAATAACTTATATTTATGAAGTGTGAAATTAAAATGAATGTGAATCCATTTTCAACAGTTTTCAGGAAGGGTAAAAGTAATATTTTTTTGGTTTAGAGATGGTTTGCTCTTATCTTTTTTGTTTTAATTTTTGCTATTTTCCAAATTATTTAAAAATACATTAAAATAAAAAATATTTGTTTCATTTTAACATATTTTAGCCAAGGAGGTTGTCAGGTTTCACTTTAGAGCACCTTAAAACACTTCAGTTGCCCATTCTAATTTTTTCACAACAGTTAATGTTCTGGTGCACCACCACCTTATGCTCCTGAACCCAGCAGTTTTATTATTTGACATTAGCAAAGTTATTAATTAATTGAACATCTCTGTAGTAGTTTGTTATTTATAACTTCATACTTTCTAGTACATGTTAGTAGGTTTAAGGTTACAATGTTCCTAGTAAACGATATAAAAATGTTCATTATTCAGTTGCTAGATCCTAATATCCTGCAAAATGATAAAATAAGCTGGTTACCAAATATCTATTAGAATATTATTTAAATTTAAACAGTAAGTAGAGTAATTGTTCCAAAGTAGTGTAGATTTATGCAATTTGTAAAAATACTACCATTATTTATTAATAAAAAAGGTATTACCCTTGTTCATAGAAATTTATGGGGAAAATTCAATTTTTGTGGAGGAAAGAAACATGCTAAAGTAACATTCCAAGGAAAGGTGTACAACTTCCTGGAGCGCCCCACTGGCTGGAAATGTTTTGTGTATCATTTCACTGTGTAAGTTTTATATTTAACCTACCAGAAAACTGAAATGAGTATTATTTTGTATTTCATCTATGGACCATTTTATTGCTTTAACAATGTACACTATAGTTTGCATAAAAACACAATATACATATTGATTTTCTTTTAGTTTTTGTATATCATATGCAATGTTGGAGACATTACTGATAAAAAAGTGTCTTGACACTCATTTTTTCAAAAAGAAAAGTGATATAATGTTCTTACTTATTAAGTACAAAAAAATTGCATGCTACATTATTAATTACAGTTCTTTCTCTTGTCTTTTTATGCAAAACAATTGTTAACTATACATCTGGAAATTAATTTCTTAAGTGTATGTCAGCGTGATTGCACAAGTGCTCCCACATTCAATTTATCCATATGAAAACAAAACTAAGACTTCAGTGTATTAAATCCATTTTGTGAGCTTCTTTCTGAAATTGGTCTTGATAGTTACTTGAAGGAAAATCTTATTTGACACATTGTTTAGATATGTTAGTTGCTTAGAACTTGGGAACTGAAATTTACTGTGACTTATAAAAGTATTAGTAATGTAAGTGTACAATAGAGATAAATTAATGTGATGAAGTTGTCTTTGGCAAAAAGTGTCAGAATTAAAAAATATAATCATTTTGCCAGTTGTCAAAATAAAAGGCTTTTACTTGTACTTCTTAACCTTTTCCAGATGGGTCACGGGTAAAAGGCCATGTCATCGCGTTTGTTGACTCGCAATCAAAATTTTATTGAACTACTATTTCATGAATTTATTTAAATAAGTTTGGTATCAAACTGTAGATTATAATTCAAATTTTAGTATTATACCTTACTCAATTTCTTAATTTAAAAGTGAATATTAAAAAACACAGATAAACATCGATTTTTGTGTATCATATGGTATGTTGAATGCACTGGTTCAAATTAGATGTTTGTGATGTCAAAATATTATGGTTTATAGTTT